GTACATTCCCGTTTCTTCTCAAGCCTGGCCCCGTTTGGTCGGGATGTGCCTTTCCTGTGCAGATGCGGCGTTGTCCAGATAATAATCTATTATCACAACAGCATCAGCAAGAAGAATGGGTTTTCCAATATCCGGTGCACACTTTGGCTCACCCCTCCCCGGGCCTGCATCAGGAAATAGAGGAAGAGGGGGGGAGAGCATTAAAAAAAGGCAAACAGCCTCGGGCAGACCGGGCGAGACGGGCGGAAAAAACGCGCCCTCGGTCGGGACGGCTGCGGCGCAGAGAGGTGAGCTCGGTGTGCCGGAGCAGGATCAGCGCTCGGGCCGGTGATAAATCCTGTTTCTAGAAACAACAAGCATCCTCAGCTGGCCTGGTGGTAGCCCACTCCCCGCCTCTCCTCCCCGTGCTCCCTCTTCCTCCCTCCCTCCCTCCCTCTCTCTCTTCCTCTCTGTCTCTCTGTCTCTCTCCCTGGCCGGCTATGCTCATGATATCACCGCATCTCCTCCCTCAGCCGGCGCTAAGCTGTTGCCTCCCGAACAAATGGCAAACAATGAAAAGAAAAAGAAATCGCCTCGTAGGAAATACTCTTTCAGGGTGTCAGAAGTTGCCTGCATCCACAGGAGTGTCCATCATTCGCGGGGTGCTCTCCTCCACTCCGTATTATACCCGTTTCCCTTTCTCTTTTTTTCCACACCTCACACTCCTCCTCCTGCTTCTCTCTCGCTTCCTTCTCTTCATCGGTCAGCATCAGCATCCGGGTTCCGCCCCCATCCTCCCCACCCCTCTTAGACTGTCTCTCTCGCCCCCACCCTCTTTTACTACAGCAAAGTTCCACATTAGGCTACGTGATTGGATGAAAAATATCAGGATACCAAGAATACCAAGTACCACATGGTCCATGCCAGTATGGCAGATGCACTCTAATCAATAGAAGAGTCTTAAAGCTGCAGCAGGTAATTTTTATAAAAAATAATATTATTATGTTTTTGTAAAAATCTGATTCCTCTGGCTCCTTCTACTAATTCTAGGGTGTCAAATAACCTACAGATGCTTTGGGACCTCAATAATCAACCATCTTTAAGCCAACCCAAAACTAAGGTCCGCCAAGCTCTGGCCTTACAAGGAGCTCAAATTGGACAACACGATCAGACACTTCAGGATGCTGTGAGGGACATTCGGTTATTGATCACACAGGTAACCCGGATCGGAGGCCAGGTGGACCAAGTCTGGAGACCAACCAAACTTACCTGTTTCTGCCACCCTTGCTCCATCCATTCTTCAGCCCAGAGAGCCTCATCTGCCACTTCCTGAGCCCTTTTCTGGAGATTAAATCTCCTCTGGAGAAGGAAAGCAATGCTTTCCTTCTCCAGTGCTCACTAGTGTTTCGGCAGCAGCCATCTGCTTTTGGTAATGTTAGGGCCAAGATAACCTTTATAGTGGCACTTCTTAGGGGAAGTGCATTAAGCTGGGCTACCACCGTGTGGGATAATCAGCCAGCAATTAGTTCATCATTTGACAACACAAAAACAAGGAAGGTATTTGATCAGCCAGTTCAGGGAAGGGATGCTGGTAGTTGTCTCTTTTCCCTCCACCAGGGGTCCCGCAGTGTAGCCGAGATTTCCATTGAGTTCCGCACATTGGCTGTAGTTTCGGGGTGGAATGATGAGGCACTTGAGAGTGTTTTTTTAAAAGGGCTCAGTGATCAGGTTAGAGATGAGTTGGCTGCCAGAGATGAGACCACCAGTCTAGATTCTCTCATTTCCCTAGCCATAAGATGAGATAATTACTTCAGTGAGAGGCGTAGGGAGAGGGCAACCCGTCCCTTGTCTCAGTCATCACCTAGATTCTCCCAAGCCTAGCTCCCACTCACCCCCTTTCACCACTTCTGGACTCGCGTCACCTGTCTCACCTGAAGAGGAGCCTATGCAACTGGGGCGAGCCCATCTGTCCCCAGCCGAACGTCTCCGTAGGATAAGAGCGGGTGAGTGCATATATTGTAGTCAGACTGGTCATTTCCTTGCCACTTGCCCCCTCCGGCCAAAAGGAGATCAGTAGATGTGGGCATACTGGTGAGCCAAACTTCGTCTGTCCCCCGACCTCGTATGCAATTGCCTGCCACTCTTCTTTGGAATAATGACTCTTTGTCTCTGTCAGCTTTTGTGGATTCTGGAGCAGATGAGAACTTTATGGACCGGGAATTTGCTCTTCAGGCAGGCATTCAGATGACTGCACTCAGCTCCCCCCTGACAGCCAATGCTCTTGATGGAAGGCTTTTGGCTCAAGTAACCCACCAAACGGCTCCTGTGCTCCTGTATCTCTCTGGAAACCACCGTGAACATATTCAGTTCTACGTCCTACCATCACCCAATGTACCTCTGATTCTTGGACATCCCTGGTTAATCAAACACAACACTCATCTGGACTACTGGTAAGGTGGTGAGTTGGAATACATCTTGCCATAACTCTTGTTTGCAATCTGCTCTCCCTCCACCAGAGGCAGCTAACCATGCCAACAGTCTTCTGAGCCACCAGAATTTGTCCTCTGTCTTCACCTGAGTATCCAGATTTGGGGGAGGATTCTGTCAGCAAGGAGAAGGTCCTATCCATGCCACCACAGTCGCCCTGATGACTGGCCCATTGACCTCATTCCTGGGATCCCGCTGGGTCGGCTTTAACTTTACTCCTAACTTACTGTCCTGGTTTCTAAGAATACTAAACTGCTCTCTCCGCAAGTTTCTTCACAGGAGAGGTTCCATCTAGGCCAGAACCATTCTTCCATCCTCCTATGTGGTTGCTGCAGTGACTTGGGAGGTGGAGTCCTTGGTGAGGGAGGCCCAGCAGGTACAACCTGACCCAGGTAACAGTCCACCTAATTTTTTGTTCCTGACTCTCTCCGTTCTCAGTTGCATCATTGCTAACAATCCATCTTCATGGAGCACACAACTCGCCTGGGTGGAATATTCCCACAACTCTCTCATCAGCGCAGCCATCGGTATGTGCCCTTTTCTTTGTTTCTTTGGGCTATCAGCCCCCTCTGCTATCTCTTCAGGAGGAGGAGATTGCAGTTCCTTCTGTCCAGGCTCATATTCGTCTCTGTCAGAA